CCATAAATGTAAACAAAGGTGTTGTCTTTCTTGAAAAAAGTGTTGAGCCATTCTAGTTTGATTAAGGGTTGTGATCGTATAGATAATCTTAATCAGAGGTCTAGGGTTTGAGCCTTTAGAATAAAAAAAAATTATGATAGGAAGCATTTCCTCCTTTAATGAAACTTACCTGACAGGAATCTGAATTATTCGGAGCCACAATGCGAGTGCTGGAAATCGGGTGGGACACTGAAACAAGAAATCTTCTAGTTTGGAAATTGGATGTACATCTTTTTGACCTTTCTCACTAGTTTGCTCCCTAGTGACAGCAAACTCCACTCTGAAATCCTTCATTTCTCAAACTCCTGCAACAATTAAAAAAGAAACTTCACATGTTAAAATCTTAATCACATTGCTATTCAATGTGAATTGAACAGTAAACTTATTTTATCAATCTTTAGAGAGGGGTGTAATATATTGAAATGAGTTAACTTCGAGAACACTATACTAAAAGTGTAAAAGAATCAGCTCACTTGAAAGATATCTATAGGTTACTGTTCATAAAAAATAGAATTAGTAACCTAAAAAATAAGACTGATTACCTTATACAACAGGTATACACTTATACTGTAAAATATTTTTATACTGTTAGTGTATATAACGTATACTCAACACCATTTGGAGTTACTCCAATGGATTAGCCTTTTCTATATGGGATCTCTCATGATCAACCCAACTCCAAGAAGCTGAATTTCAACTCAAGTTCGCCAACACACACAATTTATAGGGAACTTTATCAAAAACATCGTTTTTACTATACGAAGTATCTTAATTTTATCAAGCGACGTCGTACTTTAAGGTCATTTATATTCTTGTCTTTGGCAAATTGTCTCGTTTTTGTCCCACACCCTAACAGAGCTGCAACTTGAAGTATAACAAAGGGTAATTCTAAATCATGGTTAGAATAGAGCTAGGGGTAAATTTAAACTTTTTACCAAAGTATTTTGACACGTGAAATCTATGCAGTCCACGCTGGAGTTTATTCAAAGTCAAAGGCGCGTATGGTTTGCTAAATGAATGACCCCAAATTATAACGAAAAGTTGTTATCACCGTCTGATAAAAATGCTAATATGCTATAATACCGGATCAGATCCATCAACAAACCTAGGTCCAATATTTGTGCGTACGAGCTAGCCCAATGTCTATATAAGTAGCTATTGATGTGAAGGATGACCAATGGTTGCACATGGCTTGCTTTTGAGTTCCTAGTTTCTCTGTTTCAAATATATCAAGGACATCATTATGTGGCTGAAAGTGTCACGCTTAAATTGTAGTCAAACGATTAAATGCACAATTCTGTTTGATTTGAAGTTTTTGATAGATTTTATTTGAAAATTGAGTTGGAAATCTTTTAAAAAAACTAACTTTTTTTAATGAAAATATCTCAATCAAAGCTTGACTTATCTGGTGTTAAAGTTGATTCAATTTCAAATCATATCCCCTGAGAAAAATCTATGTATGTAGGACACATCATAATATAATTCATCTAAAATAATAACACATTCCATTTTATGCCACAGAAGCTGATTTTTGAGTTGACAACTACCAATAAGATCCTAACCAAGCGTCTTCTACTTCTAATAAGCCATGAACTAGATAGTAAGAAATTGCGCGAGTCCAGAGTTAAGTTTATGTTAGCCTTTTCTTTTAAACACTAAAAAGGTGCGCGACCTATTGAATACTGGACCGAACATCATAAATAGATCGATGGAATACCTAATGAGGAAGGTTCTTGCTTTCTTGGTAGAAAGCGCTTACCTTCTTAGTGGATCTACGTGACATGAATTTGAATTAGTTAAGATAGCGGGTTCCAAACCACGGAAGCCCAAGGAAAAAAATTATAGGAGGTTCTTTTGTTCTTTTACTTAAGAAAGATGATTGACTGTGATGGAGCAATTAACATCTAAGTAAAATGAGAATTTTACAAATTTTCTTTCCTACTTCCTGTTTTGCCTTTTTTTTTTAAAGAAGGAATATGCTGCTGGTGCTCTTTTTTCCTTTTAGACATTGACATTAGGTTATATATTAATATCCAAAAATAATAATTACATAAAGGTTATAAACAGTAAAATCTCTCTATAATATTGTTATTTGTCGGAATATTTTTTTTGTTATTATAACAAAATGTCGTTATAGAGAATATTTGTAATTTAACATAACATTAAAGATCGATTAACAAAATTTAGTCGTTATCGAAATGTTATTATAGAGGATGAATATTATATAGAGGTCTAATTATATATAAATATCCTAATTATAAAAGAGTAGACATGTGGTTCATTTATTAATTCTATTATTTCTCGGTTATATTGTACGAATTATTCATTTAATAATTTCATCCATGTGCTGCTAGGGACAATGATAGGTTGTTATACAATGTAGGGTATATCACCATTATCAAATCGTTAATGGGAAAAAAACATCAGAAAATTAGCATGAAATAATAAATATAATATCAGCAGTCGGTAGCTATTAAAATAAATTGTGATTTGGACAACAAATAGCTAGATGCAAACACATATGTCTCTGATGAAATAGACACCCTAAAATAAATCATATCTTATCAAGTTCTGTAGATCTGGGAAAAGTTTATGGCCCCTCTGTATGTACTAAATCTAATTAATTTCAATTTCTGGAGCTTAAAAACATATGAAATGTTATATGGTGAATTTTGAAATATTAAAAAATTATTTTATAGGCTATGGGTTTAATTTTACTGATAAAATGATAAATAACTTGTTTATATTAGATTTATGAAAAAGAAACAAGATTTAACTACATCGGCAGTGTTAAAAAAAGTCCCGTGTTAATATATGGGTCGTTTGGTTGGTGGGATAAAGGATAACAATCTCGGAATAAAATGCATGATTATCTTATCCCGTGTTTGGTTATGTGTATCTTAACCGGCTATTTTTGGTTTAGGTGGTTGGATAGACCGCTGTTTGGATTAATTCTTCTTATTTAATCCTGGAAACTATTTGTAGGGGATTTGCAGTCGTGCCCTATATTTGTGCCACCTTTAAACCTGTACCCTATTTTTAAAAATTATTGATTTGGTAACCAGTTGACAAAAAATCTGTAATAATATGACAATTACACCCTTGACAAAAGATATAAAACCTGCATCATGCATTAATCGCGTGATCTGCAACCTCATTCGTGAAAAAAGATCTCCTCCTCTCCTCTCAGCAACTTTATCAAAAAACCAGAAACTTATCCAGATTCATCTTCAGAATCACACTTGCATGAAGTTGTTTCATGTTGAAGCTAAAACTTCATGTTAATATAGCATGAAGTTGTTTTATGTTGAAGCTAAACTTCATGCTAATATAGCATGAAGTTGTTTCACATCGAAGCTAAAACTTCATGCTAATGCATGCTGAAGTTATTTATCCTGCAGTCTACAGTTTTATCATGAGTTTTATCCGAAACTTCAGTCTAAACATGCTGAAGTTATTTAGTTCATTTGCTAAACTTCTGACCAAACATGCTGAAGTTAATTAGTTCATTTGCTAAAACTTCAGACTAAATGCTTAAGTTTTTTAGTTCATTTGCTAAAACTTCAGACTAAACATTCTTAAGCTTTTGTCTTGCGGTATGTAATTTTCTAATGAGTTTTTGCTAATGCATGCTGAAGTTATTTAGTTCATTTGCTAAAAGTTCAGACAAAACATATTGAAGTTATTTAGCTCATTTGCTAAAATTTCAGACTAAACATGCTTAAGTGTTTTAGTTCATTTGCTAAAACTTCAGATTAAACATGCTTAAGTTTTTGTCTTGCAGTATGTAGTTCTCTAAAGAGTTTTTGCTAGCGCATGCTGAAGTTATTTAGTTCATTTGCTAAAACTTCATACCAAAACATGCTGAAGTTTTGCAACGCAGTTTATTCGAAACTTCAGTCTAAATAAGCTGAAGTTTTTTAGTTCATTTGCTGAAACTTCAGCTTAAACATACTTAAGTTTTTTTCTTGCAGTTTGTCAATAATCTTTTATTAAAGAAGGGCAAAATCGTCTTTTTAAAACGCTTTTAACAAAAAAAATGGGTACGAATGCAAACGGAAAAACAAAACGGGTATAAGTTAAAAAGGGGCAACCAAATAGGGCGCCCCATGCAATTATTACCTATTTGTACTAAAATGGTGGGATTATGTATCCCATATAGGAAATGGAATTGCTAATCTCATATGATATACCGGCCCATTGGATATCCTTGCCTATCCCATCCCACTAACCAAACGACCCCATATAGTATTTACTCAAATCATTTTGAGATTGCATTTTCAATAGCATGGACAATCAGTTAGTAATAATACTGCATATTATTAAAAAGACGATATTTTCAGTTGCAAATTGAATCTGTTAAAGCTGGCATTAATTATAAGGCTTGTGGATCCTGGAGCCACCTCACCTATCGAATAACAACTGTTTTTGTGAGTCAGTTAAGAAATGTCTCCTTCCAGTCTGGGGCCTCAAAGCTATAACTTCTGCCTTTATGTCAACTTTCATTTGGCACCTCCACCGGTATGGTGGGACACATAGAATTCCTCTACCCTTAATTATAATTATCGGGTTCGAGCTCTGAAAATGAAAAAAATATGAAGCGAAGCATTTTCCTTTTTTATGGACCTTACTCGGTATAAATTCAGATTAGTCAGGTGCGATGCCCATGACGGAGGGCGGGTCGGGTATAAATTCAGACTAGCATATTTCTAAGTTAGCAAGTTTCTAAAGAAAGAGTGCACATGTCGTCGAATGTGAGATGAAAGTAAAGAGCTTTATAAGGCATGACACAAGTTCACATGGTACGCGCGCTTTTGGGGCTCGATGTAGCGTAGCCCGAAAGACAAATCCGCGCGGATGTGAGTCCAAAACGAATAATACGTGCCATAAGCTTGGGTTGTCACATCAAGGCCTCAATACGAGACCAAAAGAAAAACCAGAAAAAAAAAAAAAAACTTTTATTTGTCATTACAGCAAAATATTTGCACATATCTTGGAGCTAAAAAATTACAACACATCAATGGTGATTTAATTAGGGGCTTATTTTCCACAACTGGACCAAGGTTAAAAGGACACATCTTATGTACATTTCCTGACCAAAGGTCATCAAAACAAAATCCAAAACAACAGAAAATTTCATCTAATAACATACAAATGCTGCACATTATTTAGTCACTGTTACAATTAATGAAATCCCCTTGATCCTCTAGACTGATAAAGTTCCAGCCTACTCTTTGCTTCCTGCAACATTTTCTCCACCTTTTCATGTTGGCTCAAGTACGTATTTTTCGAAGCCCATTCGAGCACTGTAAGCACCTCAGCTTGAGCAAGCGCTTCGCTATCAGGAACGTGCAACGCAATGTAGCATAGTAGAAGCAATGCTGGACTCTGAACTTTTTGTTCACCAAAGTAAACAAGTTGTATCAATTTATTCGCCCCTCCCGCGCTTATAATTGCCTTTGAATGATCTAAGTGAAGGTAGTTATCTGAACCAGCAAATTTTGTAAGGGCCATAGCAGCTTCCTTAGAAACTGCTGTTTCTCTTTCGTCGAGCAGCTTTACTAACGGACTAATCATCCTCGTCTCTGTTGCTCGAAAAGTCCTAGCTAAATTCCCGATAGATTTAATACATGGAATAAGTAAATCTGAATCTCCTTTTTCAATTATTCTCAGCAATTGATCAACAACAGCTTTGCATGCTGTTGTATTAGGCTTGAATGCCGATCTTCTCAAATCAGCATTCTGTTCTGCTACTGATGTAATCTCCATTACTGCCATCGACGAATTGTACTTAACATCTTCAGTTCCTTTTTCTAATAGTACTGCAAAGCAAAGCAACGCCCTCGATTCAGTAATGCTACGACAAATAGAGGAATTTCCCTTGGCGAGTTGCCATAATGCTCGTGCAGCCATCGCCTTCATATAAGCTTTGGTAGCAGGATCCTCATTTTCTCTACCTTTGTTACTACTCACCCCATTCGACGAAACAATATGCTGATGTTGATGATTGACATGATTTTGCTTCAGACCATTGTTTCCTTTAATCTTGCCCTGATTGAAAATCTGGTTCACACCATTGACAAGATTTTGCTGATACGCCTTCGTTAGACCTTTCATTGACATAGTAGTGGTAATCACATTATGCATCTGATTCGGCTTCTTATTTCCCAAAGGATGTGGAGTGGGACAATTCTTGTCATCATCGTCGTTCACCTTGATCGGGCTATTCACATTGCTATTGATATTACTAGCCAAAACAACAGCGTGAATCGAAGTGGCTTTGCTGACTATAGCATACTTGCTATGTTCTTGGACAGTCTCAAACGCGAGATGGCTAACCAGTAACCGGACTATATTATGCTGCTGAAAAAGATCTTGACATTTCGGATAATGTTCAGAGAGCTCAGCAACTGCCCATGCCACTACTGACTGAACTTTCATTGGAGCTTCTTTCAGGATTTTCGCGAACGTTGAGCAAACACCAGCGTGTACCATGTGTTCGACACTTTCAGGATCATTTCCAAGAAGTCCAATTGCCTTAGCAGCATTCTCCTGACCTTCCAATTTCCCTTCTTTCAACAATTTCAACAAGGGTCCGACTCCACCTGTTGAGACATAATATAATTAAATACAGTCGCACTCTATTCAATAGCTTAGAGTTTTTCCTAAAGTTCTATTCCCTCCATTTCAATTTATGTGAACCTGTTTGACTGAGCACGGAATTTTAGGAAAAAATGAAGACTTTTAGAATTTGTGATCCTAAACAAGTCAAAAAGGGGCCCAGAGTATTTGTGTGGTTATAAAAGCTTCTCATTAAGGGTAGATTGGAAGTTTACGCTAAATTGTTTCCAAATTTAGAAAGGAGTCATTTTTTTTGGAATGGACCAAAAAGGAAATAAGTTTACATAAACTTGAACAGAGGGAGTAATATCTTAAACTTTTCTGTAAAATGGTCATACAATTCACTATGGTATCAAGGTAGTCAGAAGTCCTAAGTTCAAATCTCAGTACCACAAAAAAGTACAAAAGAATATTTTTGGAATTGTTACACAAATAGTCGGGCAGATTCAATGTTTAATTTTTTCTAGTCTGTATAAATAGTTTATACAATGACTATACACGGGTATACATATATTATACATGAAGTATTCATATATTATACATCCGCCGGCTATTTTAGTTTATGATATTGGATGAACAGCTATTTGTGTTATTTCATATCTAGTCCATAAGAAATGAATTAAGCCCACACGTGACGAACATGTTGAAACATGACCGGATTATTTGCACCATATGACCTTTTCTGATGAGCCACTCTTTAAATTATGACCTTGTTAGCTCAATCGGCTAATTTTGCCTTTAAAATTAGTTGGATACTCCCTCCGGTTCACAATAAGTGTCCAATTTGCTTTTTTATTTTGGTTCAAAATAAGTGTCCAGTTATGTAATCAAGAAAGAATTTAATTTGTTTTTACAAAATAACCCCTATGTACATATCTCTAAAAAGTTTTCTTACTCCTCACATTAAATGTTTAATTAGGGATAGTTTAGTCATAGTAGGTATTTTTGTATAGAATTTAGTATTTTCTTAATGGGCGTGCTAAAAGCAAATTGGACACTTATTATGAACCGGAGAGAGTAATTTTCAATTTTGCAGTCAATTAATCCACTAAGTTAATTGAGGGACACAATTCAAATAATGACCTCAAAAAAGGCAATTTGTGCAAATGCCATACATAATATAACCAACTAACAGTTTAAGCTTTTAGACGAGAATTTCAACGCACCTTCTTCAATGATCAATTTCCCATACCGATTATTATCCCGAGCCAACGAAACCAACGATGCAGCCGCATCTGATCTCTCATCCAACGAACCTGTATACAAAATGGCAATCTGTTCCCAAATCAAACACAGAATAGGTTCATTAGCAGCAATAGGCGGCAGTCCCAAATACTCATCAGCACGTTCATTAGCTGAAGCCGAAACTCGTAGTAGCCACGACACATCACCAATTGAATTCTCCAACAGAGAAGTCATTTTTCGAAAAGCAGCAGCAGGGATGATAGTAAAAACCCGTTTCACGAGCCCGTTAGCTCTGCATTTTACGACGATGGACAGCGCCTTTTCGAGGACTTGCTCAGTATCTTCAATGATTCGTTTTGTTGGTCGTTGGTAAAGATCGTTGCTAGCGCGTGCTGCTTGACGGAGAAGTGATGCTAGTTTTTCTGTTTTGGATTTGATATCTGCACATTCTTGTTTAAATGAACTTGCTTCGTCTGCAGCTTTTGTTACTTGATCAGCTAGTTGGATTGGCTTTGCCAAGATCTGTTTAACTATGTCAGCCATTGATAAAACCAAAATCCCAGATCAAGAACTACAGAAAATTAAAATGGAGGGTTTATTTAGACCACTAAGAAATTTTGGAGGATAAAAATGGAGAAATGAAGAAGGAGATTGTTTACATTTAGATGTTGTTATTGGAGTTTTGGCAATGGAGGAGTGGGAGTAAGCTGATATTCGAGATTTGTGATAAATAGAGTAGCAGTTTTTTTACTTTCTTTTTCCTTTTCGGCCTTCTTATATAATGTTGGCTTGTGGAATATTGCATATTTTAAGAGTTTGATAAGTACACTTATATGCGGGGACGGGGCTAGAGTGCTGGGAGCGGGTTCGATCGAACCCATTAGCTTTGTTCGAACCCTGTATTTGTTTTAAAAATTTGATTGAATATGTACAAATTATTAATATATTTTAGAACCCAGTAACATCAAACAATTGAAATTTCGAACCTGTAAGCTTGAAATCATGGCTCCACCTCTGCTTATATGAAGTGTTTAATTGGACATGAAGTTACAACAACAACCATCCAGTATAATCACACAAGTGGGGTCTGGGGAGGGTAGGATGTACGCAGCCTTACCCCTATCCTGAAAGGGCAGAAAGACTGTTTCTTATAGACCCTCGGCTAAAGAAGGTGAGAGAAGCAAATTGGACACCAAGTTGAAAGAAAAAAAAAATTGTAACATACATATCAAAAGTACTTTTAGAACTTATAATCATAAATATCGCGTGATATTTCTTGAGTTGTAGGAACATGTTTGTGAGGATAAAATGAAAATATTACTAATATATACTTACTCCATTCTTATTTATGTGACAAAGCTCGAGTTTAAGAAAAAACAAGGTTTTTGAAATTAGTGGTCATGAATATATCATAACGTTTATAAAGCTTTTGAAACTTATGATTTAAAGTATTTTATAATATTTATATGACTTTAAAAGCTTCTCATTTAGAATAAAATTGAAGTTTAAGTTAAATTATTTTTAAATTTAAAAAATTATATCCTTCTTTTTGAGACGGGCTAAAAAAAATCTTACCACAACTAAAAGAAGAGAGTATTAATGTATTTTTAGATATAAAATGTATCAATTTTTGTACATAATTTACCTCGTAAATCACGTTTTATCCATAGTTTAGATCCTAGACACACTTTGAAAATGTTCCGTAAAAAGTTGCCCATAATCGAAAAATGTGTCATAGAAATTTAATCTCATGGTGACGAGATAAATTAAATATTCTGCCAATAAAATACTATAGGAAGAGTACGTGTAGTAATAAATGGTTTTTCTGATTGTAGTAGTTGTTATTGAGATTTATTGCTGTGTATTTGTGTGCAAGAATTTCATTGTTTTTAATACTAAAAGTTATTATTTAAATGGTTGTCAGTGAGTCGAGCTCGTTGTCACCTTAACTAACTTGGATGGTCTGGTCTCCTTTTATAATAATATGAAAAAAGCTCAGAAAAACAGGTCACAGACAACGTGGGGTATGCTGTGTTTCACTTTAGGGACTACTCTATCACATGCCCAGATTCTGCGGCAGATTGGGAGACTTCTTCCTTATAGGGCGGGGTTAGAGCTTCGGTAACGAGTTCGGCCGAATCCAATAACTTTAGTCCAACTTATATATTTGTCTTAAGAAATTTATTGAATATGTACAAATTCTTACTTAAGAACCCAATAACATAAAATGACTTAAATTTCGAACCCAATAATTTCAAATCCGGGCTCCACCTCCGCTTCCTTAGAAATATACCTCGATAGTCATGTCAAATGTCTAGGGGCGGAGGTAGGGTATAATTTATGGGTTCGGTCGAACTCAGTAGCTTCTCCCTAGACTCTGTATTTGTATTTATATTAAGTATATAATTGCAAAACCAGTAACTAAAACATGATATGGGTTCGTATCAAATTCAGAACCCACAAACTTTAAATCTTAGCTACGCCTCTACAAATGTCAATACCAAGTGTGTTCTATACCGGTATTTACATCAAATATATATTAAATTAGTATGCTTAAGTGTTTGATTAAAGTAAAAACATCAATGAATTATTAAAATTTAAAATAATCATGTTTGTAAAGATACATGTCATACATTTATCAAACCACCCTTCATATACTCTCTTTGGTCGCGTCGAATATTCCTATTCGACTCTGACCCAGAGTCGGCCGAAGCCCAAAGCTCTTAAGGCAAGGGCTTTAGGTGTAAAAATAGCATGGGTTAGCCAGTTTTCGGACTGGTCATTCAAAAATAGCATAGTTTGCAAAGTTATTGAAAAATAGCCACTAATTTGCTATAACACAGAAAGTTCTAGCATAATATACTGGAGATCAGTGCACCTGTGTAAGAACTTCCAGCATATTATGCTAGATCAGTATATTATACTGGAACTCTAGTATAATATGCTAGAAGTCCAGTATATTATACTGAAACTTCAGTATAATATGCTGGAGTTCCAGAATACTTTGCTGGAACTCCAGCATATTATACTAGAGTTCCAGTATATTTTACTGGAATTCCAGTATATTATGCTGGAGTATTTTCCGGATTTTGAACAGCGTTTTCGTTCAGATTTATCTTTACATGAAAAGTGGCTAAACTTCGATTACTTTTGAAACTGTGGCTATTTTTGAATGACCACTTGTAAATCTGGCTATTTTTGAATTTCTCCCGCTTTAGGCCCCATAAATGTGGAGCCCTACTTTTTGGTAGTATGTAATTTATTTAAATTTTTTTTAAAGAAATCGACTATGTAATGTAAAAAGTATAATTTATTTACGAAAAATGAAAAAGTAACGTTTGCTTCATTATTGATGTACCATTAGCATATTTTAGGGATAATCAATAGTCATTTTGGTAAAGATAGTAACGGTTTTGGGATAGATTTATTACTTCTACACGAACAAGTACACCCACATTATTTTACTTTCTTAATTTACCTTCTTCGTCAAGTTTTGAAAATTGTGGTCATGATAATTTTTTTACTTTCTTTTGTCAAAAGAAGGCACAAAACTCTTTTCATTGTTCTTTGTGTAACAAAATTAAAAGTTGGTAAGAATATAAACTTTCTCAATGATAAATATTTCTCTTTATTTTCATGTTTCTTTTTCTGTATATAGATACTGTTCTTGGGACTAATATTGGTAGTCAATTAAGAGAGAATTTGAATATTTTATATTATGTGATGTTATACAAAATATATCGAGAGTGATGCTTTTCCAAGAAACTAAGATTTTACCTTTAATAATCACATTACTACTACAATCTGTAGGTATCCATAATCTCTAAATTTCTACATATATATAAAGCTTGAAAGCATTCAAAATAGTAAAGAAACTCTTGCACGCGAACCTAATAATAAAGATTCCAATTTTAAAAGTGTCATAATTTACATACCGAAACCTTTATATATAGCTGATATTTTCTTTGCCGCTAATTATAAATTTGAGCCGAAATTTTAAATTCTTTAGCTCCACTTTGATGGCAACTGGCAAGAGCCTACAAGTTAAGAAACACTGCCTACTTATTAACAATCAGAATATTTTAAATCTTTGAATTAAACTACTTCAGTTTCATATATAATAAATAAAGTTTTTAAAAACAAGATCCAGGGTAATGTATTATGAACACATGACTAACATCTTATTAACTTGAATTAGCCCTTACCAACATAAATAATAATATTACCTTGCTCAATTAAATACGAAAAAAATAAGGTGTCACTCTTTTTTCGCATATTGTGTGTGTATATATATATATATCTTCTATTAAAAAAAGTTTAATGCCTCTTATTAAAATTTAATTTTAGGCCACTAATTATATTGAGTCGCCTTTGCTCCGACCGATAAGGTTAGGAGATAATTTGAGAGATCGTGAGGCCTTATTTATTAAAAGTGGGACTTGATTATAAAATGAAATAACTGATAGAAATGATATTTCAAAGAAAAATGAAAAGGATGCAAAAAAGGTTAAGACACTAACACATACTCTCACATAGCAATAAGCTAAGAGGGAGAGTGGAGTTAGATCCTAGCATTGGTTATGATAGAGAAATATCCGTATGAAAGAGAATTGCTGTTGTTGAAGGAACAGAAGTAAAATAAACTCTTGCTCATTCCTATTATATATGAAATGTACACTAAATAAATATACATATCATGTATATTTTTTTATTGCTTAAATATGGTAATTTCACCCATTTTAATTTATGTGAACATATTTGACTATATACAAAATTTAAGAATGTTTACCTCGAAAATACGAGTAACAATTAAATTTGATTTGTAGTTTTAAAGATACGTAATTTAATTCAATACCAATTAATAGTAAAGAAGTATGAAGTAGAAACGAAAGAGAAAAGTGAATCAAACAAACGTTACTCAATAGTAGTGACCTCGAGCCCAGGGACCTCGAGGTAGGCTTGGTATTATAAGAACAATTAAATAATAAAAGCAAAGTAAGAACAATAGAGCTAAAGGACAATGCTGATGAAAAGCAAGCGAAAAAGGTAGAGAGTATATTCTTTTCTCAGTGATAAGATGATGTTACAAATGATTGGGGTCCCCCTTTTTATAATAGGGTAACCCTAAATAAGGAATGTTTTTATTTACAGTAGGGAATATTCTTATTACAGTTGTCTAACCGCCTAGTACGGAATTGTACAATCTTATTTCGGGATTTGCGCCATGATCTTGGGGATGTGGCAGGAATCTAGCTCATTCTGTTACAGACCCATAACGGTACTACTTCGGGGTCGAGCGCACTTGGCCTCGGTGTTCCTCGAACTCCTGTCTCCGGGCATTGCACTCTGTTTTGGAGCTCGAGTCTGGTCCACCGGTTTCGAACTCGACCTCGCCCGGACTCCGGTTTATGACGGACCCTCGATCTTGTAAATCGGAGTCTTCTGATTTTGACCGTATACAGATAGTCCCCGCGTTTCTTAGAATAAGATGATGAGAAATGATTAGAACTTCGATTTTCAGAGCCAATCACGATGACGTCATCCCTATGATGCAAGCGCTCGAAGTGACTGAAATGTCCGGTCGGTTCGCTTCCCCAAAACATTAAATGCATGCAGTACTGGTCGGCCACTAGTGCCGCCGAACCGTCGTTGTCCTCCTATAAATATGAGCCTATTCCTTTGAGCAAAGAATTTTACTCCTTCATTACATCTTTCCCTTCTCCATCTCTTTCTCCAATCACCTGTTTCCACCGCCTCTTTAAGCGTCGGAAAACGCCGG